AAAAGGTCAAAGCAGGAACCAGATGAAAAGCAGCCCACTGGCCATCTAGACCTGGGGGAGGAGGAAACAGGAGAAAGAAGGAGGTGAAAGAAGAGGCCATCAACCTTCTCTTTTTAAAAGGGGAAAAAAAAAACCCCAACCAGCTAGAGAAGTCCAACAAGGCAGCAATTCTGGCTAACAGCATGAAAATGACTTAGGGTAGAATCACGACTTTGCTCCAAGTGAAACCTCCCAGATTCAGATTGTGTTCACTAAGCTGTTTTAGTTCGAATTGTGATTTTAACCAAGAAAAAACCAGATCATTTAAAAAATATTGCATGCAAGAACCATTCAATACATAGAGTTATTGTTGGATTAAAGACAGTTTATTACTATACCTGAGCACCCAAGTCTTGAAATTCTTTGCAAGCTTCTGGGAACACATCATATGCAATAACCGGATATCCATGTTTTACCAGGTTTTTTGCCATTGGATTTCCCATGTTACCCAGCCCAATGAATCCAACTGGGGTTTTGGAAGCCATTGCCCTAGAACACACTAATTTCAAAACAATAAATATCATTATACTTGTATTTTAGAGAAATGCATAACAATGATGTAACAAAAGCTAGCATGTAATCTATTTGCACCAACTGAGACAACTTAAATAGTTAAACTTAAAAAGGGCAGCAAGGTGATTCCTATTCCACATAATTTCAACCATAGATTATAGCTCACATTGGGCCACAAATACCATCCCTGAATGATTTTTCACATAGCAAAGAAAATTATTTTAATTAGAAAAATGTGAGTGTTTCAAAAAGTATAGTAATAATCAAACTTGAGCAACATCGCTGAAAGCTAAGGTCTGAGTTTCGGTCCGAGAGGAGCTCAAACAAGGACTTAAAATATGCAGGCTTGTCTCTGTTTTGTTATGGGCCTAAATACTGAACTGAAAATGCAAAATCAAATTTTATATATATTTTACAGACTCCTTATTTGTAACTTTGGTTGCAGCCCTGGGATTTAGCACCTGTTCCCTAGAAATGGATTGATGCTGCCACTTTATTTCATGCAGCCCCTCACAGATATTAACTGGACTCTTCTGATCCTGCACCCAGATATAAACCACTAACCTAAAAGTCTCAATAATAAATCATTGCCAATTCGTTGAGCCATGTAATCACTTGCACTATAGTTTAAAAGCAAATGCTGAAAACTAGAACTAGAGTATAAATACAAAATGATGAAGTCTTTACAGGAACAACCACTGAATTCTATTTGCTGTACTACAGAGACAGAACTATAAAGCATGATCTAGTATCTACAGAAGACACTAGAGTTTCAGTCAGTTACTTTTTACAAGTAGTTAGCGAGTATCAGATGCTGGATTATAAGTACCATTGCAGGCATATCAAATGCTGGACAGTAAGTAGCATTTGCAGGCAACCATCTACTGCAATCACTGTCTCATCACTCCAAACACTCCTAATCCAAGGGCAGCACAGTTTGGCAGTGCCGAGATTTCTTTGCTGATTACATAAAATAATTTCTCCTTTACAGCAAAGGAAAAAGTTATGCAGAATAAACACTAAGGCATGTGGCAACTAAGCAGCCAGAAACGAGGCTAACTAACTATGGAACTACTGTAACTCTGAAGTGCACACACAGTGCCTAAGCTGGATCTAGACTCTAAGAGGTCTCAATGCTTAGCAAAGAATCCTCTCTAGGCCAATAACACTCGATTAATCATTTTAAAGTCTTTCTGAGTTTAAGCTCCCTCTTAGCCAGCAGTGGTCATGCTCTTTCATCTGCAGCACTATTTTGGAAGTGCCACATTTAATAAATCAGGTGTGTTGAGAGAACTTTGGTCTGAGACAGTTTCCACAGATGCCTGCATCAATTACATAGCTAGAGAAGCAGCACAATTTAAAAGAAAACTGCACTGGGAAAACACTTAGTGCAAACTGCGATAAAGTCAGGAAAAGAGCACATTGCTTTTTTAAGAAGTGCTACATGTCAAATATAGGAAACAAATTAACAAAGAGCCTAAAACACCACCATCGGCCATAGTAATCATCTTGGAGTCTTTTCTTCTCATAGTTTCTATGAGTCAGTCTTCCCCAGTACATCAGCTACACTAATTTAAAATTGCTCCTTTTGCTAACCCAAAGCTCCCACCTTCCTTTGGAGGTTCAAGTCCTGGTTTTCAGCATCTTTCTTTCTCTACCCCTTAATACCAGTGGATCTTATTTACCTTGACTTCTGTAAAGCTTTCAAAACAGCCTCTTCTAGTATCCTGCTAGCCAGTTGGGGAAAGTATGCACTGGACTGGACTGCAAGACTGCCTGATGGAAGAAACATTGTCTGGATTGTTGGGCTTAAACAACAGTAATCAGTGTTTCAAAGACTAGCAACAGTCAGCTATACGTGATGTTCCTCATGGGTCAATACTAGGGCTGCTGCTGCTTAAAAATGTCATCAATGACTGTGACGATGGCACATAAGCACCCGCAGCAAGATCATGTATGACACCAAACTGGGGGGAATGGCTGAGAAACTGCAGGGCAGGGCTACTATTCAGAAAGACTGGAGAAACGGGCCTCAAGAAGTTCAACAAAGAAACACAATGTCCTGTACTTGGGGCAGGAGATGTCATTGCAGGCTGAGGACTGGCTAGACAGGTTGCAGCTCTGCAGAAAAGGAACTGTGGATTCCCATAGACAAGTTAAGTATGAGTCAGTAGTGTATCCTTGCACCAAAAGGTTAATTACATACTGCCCTACATTAGCAAGAACATGCCTAACAATTCAAAGAAATCAGTGATTTCACTCTACAAAGCACAATACACAAGAGATGTGGTCAAACTGCAGACACCCCAGCCCACATCAATTAAGATGACTGAGAAGCTGGAGAATATGGTGTATGAGCAGAGGCTAAGGGAACTGTCTTTGCTTAGCCTGAAGAAGCAAAGGAGAATTGCAGTCTTCCATTGCCTAAGGAGTGGGCAGGAAGAAGAGTTACACAGCAAACGGAGCCAGATTCTTCACAAAGGTGCACAATAGGACATGGGGCAGTGGCCAAAAGCTGCAGTAAGGGAAATTCTGGTTGGAAATAAGAAAAGCATCCCTGATAAGGAGAAACGTTCTGCACTGGAACAGCCTGCACAGAGAAGTGGTGGAACCTCCACCCTTGGAGCAACCTTGGAGCACCCTGAGCAACCTGATCTAGCTTTAAAGTTAAGCCTGCTTCCAAACCCCAGTTTTGTTTGTTTCTGTGAATTCCAAGTAACCACACCAGAAGCATAAATCTGGCTACCATGTCTAGGCTCACTCTTGTAGGCTCTTCATTTTTATCCTTCTCTCTTGTTTTCTCACACCATCTCATGAATATCTAGCCAGCACCTCAAACTAAACATCAAGAAATCTCTTAATTGTCTTCAGAAAACTTTCTTGATACCTTTTTTCTGTATCAGTGCTGACACCAGCAGCAATGCCTGTCACTCATACTTAGCCTAGGAGACTCATCCATGGCCTGCTTAAATCTCATTCATACCTCCTTCGTCCCATCTGAGATCTCAGCTACTTCAGAACCTGGCCACCTGCCTCAACTTTACAGGCATCATCTTGCCTTGATCTTCATGGAAATATTGGGACTTGAGAAGGGCATTTTGCCCATGCTACTTTCTGTCACTCCTTCTCTGCATCTCACCTTACTTTTCTCTACCATGTTACTTTGCTTTGACAACTTTTCATGGCTATCATCACATCTTACTATTAAGACATCAGCTGGTAATTGGACAGCAATGACATGGCTGTTGCCAACAAATATTTCTATTACTTCTCTAAGGCAGCTCTTCACAATGTAAATATCCATGAAAATAACTCATTCTTCTACTATAAGGCGTTCCTTAAAAGTCTTCATTTTGCAATATCCCCAGAAGGCACAGCAACAGTTAGGCTGGAATACGAGGCAAGATGCTGATTGGTATTATTAGTTTTGTGTCACTGTATTCTATTATTTCCCCTTTATCTGTCTCTGTTGATTTTCTTTTGTCCTAGTTCATGAATCAGGGACCATTTTCTGTTCTGTGCTAACTAGACCATATTCAAATCCACAGGAATTGGGACCTGTTAAGAGAAATAGTCCAATTCCTGACTCAGTTTCTGACTTCTTAGTTTGGTTTAACTTCTCACAGCCCAGTGTTAGATGAGCCACTTTAAAATGATATAATTTGATTAACAGCTTTGAAAAACCTCCAGATCCCCAGATACTCAAATATAGGAAAACCACTTTAAAGGACTGATGAAATTAGCTCACAGACGTACCTAATATAGCTGATTTTGATTAAATTTGAATCAACTGCATTTAGAATCATGGCATACTTTTTAATGACTACTTAAGACAGTGGAGGTTTGCCAAACAGAGTATGTTTAAGAAGACACAATTTTTCACATCTTCATATTAGATGAAACTCCACAGGTGCTATCATGGAAAGTGATGTTCAGCTTGAATATCCAGGCACTGTTTACCATTTGATACATGGCACAGGCTCATTTTTGAAATAACTGTGTAATTCAAACATCGAAGGATTGATATTCTGCAAACCTACACACACATACACTTAACTAATCCCATCAATTGTATAAGCATTTGCAGAAACTGTCCCTGTGGTACTGAGTCGATTTTACTTCAGCCATAAAATCTACAGTAACCTGCTGCAATCACATGGCTGGAAAAATGCCCAGTCCATGCTCAACTTCTAACAGAGGGCAGAACATCAGAAGTAGGAGCAATAGAAGCTACTTTTAAAATAATCACTGATACAATGTGCAACTAATTCTCCTTCATTGGGAACAGAACCAGCAGCGTAGGTTAATCTACAGATCAAGTTAATTGTGAGCAAAACCAGCTACAGCTACACTGCATCCAAAGAATCTGGGCTTCTCCCAGGAGATTCTTCACTGCTCTCTTGAGAGAATGTGTACTCACAGATCCCGGTGCCTGTGAAGACTCCATTGATGAGGAGGATCAATTTATGACCCTCTTGCCATCTTAAGAGCTTATAGACAATACAGATAAAAATGTTTTGCTTTGAAAAGCCAGCCTACAATAGAAACACTTTACCTAATCCATAATTCAATGAGAATTTTACCTTAAAAATAATTTAATTAAAAAATCAGCAAGTTTATGAATCTCTGAATGCCTTTTCTTGAACAGAATGCATCCATTAAGAGAGTAAACTCAGAAATGCAGATTGCAGTCCTGTCCCCAGGATACATGGCCTGTCAACGACCTACAAAACTTGTCTTTTCAAACTTCTACGTAAGGATACCGAAGGCAATTTTCTTTTTAACCAGAACAATGACAGTTACAAGTTTAGATAATTTCAGATGTTTACATTTCATTTTACACTATCTCCCAAAGTTATGACTCTTACTGTTTAAAGAAAGAATTTCAGCTCCAGTGCTGCCTTGAATTCACTGCAAATACTACACTGCACAGACCCTATAGTACGCAGTGCAGAGGACATCTCTTTGTATTCAAACAAAAAGGAACTAATAGCTGGATAGGACCACAGACAGTAGAGCTGGAAAAGGTCCAATATGCTTGTAGTCTCAAGGAAAGCACAGTCTGACTGGCCAAGAACAGGACTGAGAAACCAGTAACTCTCAAACTGTAATCTCAACTATATTACTTACTTTTTGGCTTCATAAAATCTATTTTGAACCATGTTCACCAAAATGTTCAGCTCCTGGGATGGAATGCCTATCTTCACAGTCAAATGAAACCGATAAATGTGGCACAAGGGATAACAGCCCACATATTCCTGTTCCATATGAATTTTCTCATCAGAGTTGTTGCAAGTCATATTAATATTCAGTGAATCCTGAGCTTTTTTTCAACACAGTAGGTGAGATTTAACAGGAGCATGGGAAGTTGCCTAGAGGAAGCTCAACTCCTGAAGCTACTGGTTTTGCTCAGGGCTTTATGAGAAAGTACGGTTGCATATGAAGTAACTTGACAAGGAAAGGGAAATATGATGACAATTCAATCTCAGCCACTAAATGAAGGACTTTGCCACTGGTTTAGCATCTTAAGTTCTGGTACAACTACAACAGAAGACACCATCCCTTTTCTCCTTCCTGCTTTGAAAGAAAGGATCAGATAGAGCTTCTGTGTTTTGTGCAGACTTCTCTACAGACTCATAAAACCTCTACTGAATGAAATCCTGGAGGGAACTAGACGGAGAAACATAGAATTTAGAGAGGCCAGCTGTACATGGGCAGAATCAGGTCTTTCTGTTCCTAGAAGCTTTTGCCAATGGAATTTAAATTGCCCCAGGGTCACAGGCTTTTAAAGGTTATGCAATGATTTTGAGAACTGCACTCTGCCAAAATCATAATTTAAGAAGATTACAAGACTCTAAATTTGGCCAGCTTTACATTGAAAACATCCCACTTGCTTTTCCTTGCCTCTGTAAAGGTCTGCTGATGAAAAACAGACGTGATCTTGTAACAGTCAGAGTCTTCTTACCTCATTTTTCTTATCTGTACCTATACCTCATTAAATGTTTGCTATTACGTAAAAGACAAAACCATGTAGTATGTACATTTCATCTAAAAAGAATAGCAAGCATACACTTGATACCTTAATTAAGTAATGTGCTGGACTTCAGAGCAGCAGGTCTTTCTGTCACAATCCTTGCTTAGTAATTTTTAAGTAATAAAAATGCTTCTCTGCACCAGAGCATGGAATCATTTTGACAGTTCAAACAGAGCTCCTGCATCAGCAAAAGTACTACTTAACTGTTAACTGAATGGGTAAATGCTTCTCTGCACCAGAGCATGGAATCATTTGACAGTTCAAACAGAGCTCCTGTATCAGCAAAAGTACTACTTAAATGTTAACTGAATGGGCCTCTACTACTCATCCAAAGCCATTTGTAAGGACGTTTTCGTTCTCTAGCAGGGTACTGCCATCTCTGATGAACAGCTCCCTCAGCTGATGAATCTTCATTCACCAGAAAATCTTCCTTTCTCAGCCACGATACCTCATTAGTCCCCTCTTCATCCTCCCTAGGAGTCCACAAGGATTGCTCCACATCCATCAAAAATGTATTTTTAAGTAAGGTCATATACACCCTCTCCAGGGTACCTTTGCCAGCAACTGCCAGTGGCAGATCACAAGACTGTATGGTCTCTATCCAACTTGCTAACACACAAACATACATACACAAGATGCTCTTCCAACATCTGCCCTCAGCTATTTTCCTCCTAGATGATTTAATAGCCTCTAGTATAAACATAGAACAATCCATCATGGTCTGCACCAGCTGCAAAGAGCAACTGACCAAGTAACGAAGGTGCATTCATTAAGTGAACAAATACAGCCTGCTCGCTGACTAAGCTGTGGCATTGGACAGCTCTCGGAGCTGACAGTTCCTTCACTAGGATGGCGTTTCACTCAGAACGACTGTTGATGAAATCGCTACTCTAAGGACAACTTTTAGACTACTCAGAACTGAAGAAAAGGATGGCAAACCTAATAAACGCATTAGACATGGGGAAACCTCGACATATAACTAAGCAGTTTGGCTTAGCAGTTAAGAAGGCTTAATGCTTAGACCTTCATCCCATAAACACTTCTCAGAGTCAACAGGACTTTCAGCGCAGTCACTACTGACTAATTAAGTCAGAGCTTAAATGCTGTGGGTGACATTCTGTTCTATGGAAGTTTCTTGGAAGTCACAATTTCTCCTTAGACTTACTCACAATTTCTCACTCAGGTCTCCAGGCAAAGGCAAACTATATTTTTCAACTTTAAGGGCCAGTGTAGTGTTTTGGGTTGCTTTTCACACCAAGAAATGAGATCCCTTCCATCTTCTCTACATTAAATATGACCATTGGAATACTGACCAAGACAGTAGATTTCAAAGCTCTTACAGAAATATCTGACAGCTACCACACACAGAAAGTTCAAGACACATTGAAAGCTGCTGCTTTCAATTGTGGTATCACAAAAGGTACTAAATACTCAAACAGGTCTCCTGTATTTAACTTTAGTAGCATGTGACCAATATGCCTGCTGCACCTGAGCTATTACTTGGCACACCACCAGAGCTGCAACTGTAAAAATAAAATCATGCATTAATGGAAGCGAGAGAGTCAAGCAAAAATAACACCGAAAGCTAATTTCAAAATTGTCAAACACTTTTCACTGATCAGTTTAAATGAAGTTCAAAGGGGAATTACAAATTTTTAGAAGTTACTCACTTAAAAGTAATTAAATAATTCCCAAACCCCTTTGTTAAGTGTCAAGATTTTAGAATCATATACCATTTAAAAGAATATATTTCTTCCACTTCACTACTTGAAAAGTCTTCACCTACTTGTCTGCTTGGAGCTTAACCATACAGTAACATACATGAGCGACAGACTGCTGTCAAAATGACATTGAAGAGACAACTGAAGATATATTTTTGATTATCCATTTCAGCAGCTAAAATAGTTGGAAACAGTAGCGCGATTTCCAAGTTAGAAAAGGGAAAAGGTTTCGGCTCCATTTCTGCAAGTACGTTCTTCGTTCATGTGCACCAACAGGGCATTTACAGGTGTTTGCTCCTTCCACCGCCCATGAACCACCCCCATGTGCGAGTGGGTGCCTGCGCAGCTGGAACAGGAGGAACTGCCGCTGGATTTACCTTCAGTTTAAGGAAAATAATCGGATACAATGATTGAGAGGGTTGAACTGCCCAGATCTGGGTGACAGGTACTGCTAACATGTCACTGGTGCCACAGGAAACACTTGCGAGCTCCGGTAATTGCCAGGCATGCTATTTTAAGCAATCGAGTGAAAACATTTATTGAGCTAAGCCACGCCGAAGCTCCGGTACGGCCTCAAGTGAGGCGGCGGCGGGAGCTGCTTCGCGGGAGCGCGCCGCGCCAGCGATGACCCTCCCCAGCACTCCCCGGGGGGTCCCTCATCGGGGGCGCTGCACGGCGGGGCGGCTCCAGGGCCC